TCTGACAGCCTACCTGCCATTTGCCACCATCATCCTGTGACATTTTCAAAATTCTTTCCATGTGTTTGTATTTCAATTGATTTATTCCTGTGCTGTTCTTACTGGTGTGTGACTAATAAATTACCCTCACTAGTAGAATCTTTTAATTTTGCAGCTTCCTTATGATTAAACAAACTTATTTTCAATTTACAGTTTCTTAACTTTACAAGTTCTTTTCCTACAACTCCCTTTGTTGCTATTCTGAGTTCTTCCTGACAACATAAACTCCATTTTTAACTGCATTCACTTTTATTAACTCAGGCAACTGTGACTTCTTATTACTTTCACTGTTACATTGCCTTAGATTAACTAGATTTACTTTTGAAGAATACCACTCTTGTAAATGTATCAGTTACTCATATTTGTCAGTATATGTGGACCAAATATGTTATCAAAAGATTGTAGAAACTCAAGGGAAGATAGAGAGGAACCAGAGAGGGACAGATGGAGCCATGATAGTGATGCTGAATTGATAAGGTAACAATTCCTAAGCAGACTGGGTAGTTGTGGATGCACAAAGTGACCTCATAAATTCCTCAATCGAATCACCACAGTTATTTAGTATAATTTAGTTCATATTATTGCATCATTTTGGCTGACATGCCTTTAGAGGCAATTCTGCAAAATATATCCTAAAGAACAGGTTATTGAACTTGTTATTGTTAGGCAGGTCCCCTGTAGTTCTATATTGGGTGGAAAACACTCTTGGAATATAGACAACATTGTAATTGTCTCCAGAATCTCAAAGTTTAAATAGGAAACTAAACCATAACTGTTAGGGTACAGAAAGTCAGAGACACCCCTGTGTTAAATATCTTGTCAAAGGCCACGAGTGTCTTCATTTTCAATGGGCTTTATTTTTTTGCCTTCTATTATTTGTAGAAATGAGAAAAAAAGAAGATTGAAGAAAAACATTGCTTGCTTCTAGACTGGAATCAGAGCTCTTGTAACCACAGCAATGCACAGTGACTTCCCCTCAGTGATACAGAAGGTAAGATATTCAAATCAGAATTATAGCCACTTGTAAGTATTATTTCTGGACAGCTGAAGTGCTTAGCTAAGGGTTACATATAGAGACATTCATACCTCTAAAGGGAAAATACGTGTTAATTGTGTTAAGAAATGTTTTCCTTTAAAAGATACTAAACTGCAAGCTCTTCTGCTTGCTTTATGAAAGACCAATTTCCACATAAATTTTTAAGAAAAGTTAGCATTTTGCCTCTGAGCGTAATACATTTTCATATTGAAGGAACTCTATAAGCTATTGCTGAGTGCATAATGGAAGTTGCTTCTCCCCACACAGTGAATTACCAGGACCCAGGTGGCAGTTACCTGACACTACTCTTTTTCAGAACATGTACAATGAGTGTATAGATAGAAATATTAATACTGAGAGACAGCCAGAGGCTCAGGGGACTGAATACAACCATTAAACAATTTGTTTTGCGTTTCAAGTCAAAATCCTCCATAAGTGGTGGCCACCAAAGCTCTCACTGTCTAAGAAGAATTTAACAACATGTTCCAAGGTATGCAGTTTCAGGTTTTGTGGACCTAAATCTGCCTATGGATCCACTCTACAAAACAGCAACATAACTTGTAGTGTGAAGAGGCATCCTTGATGGTTTCAGAATTCAAATATGGGAAAGGTTCCAGTACCAATGCATTTTGATGCCTGCAGTTACTCTTTAGAGCCTATCTAAGAGACATTCTAGCATAGTCCAAGGTTTGTTTGTACAAACTGTAGACTTCCCTCTGGAAGTGCTACACCTGTACCTCTCAGGATGAGTAAATGCACTACAAAACATATTAGAAAGAAACACAACAGCGTTGTAGGCATGGATTCCTGCCAAAATGATCCCGTCAATGCATTGGAATGGACTGACTCATTGGCAAAAACCCACAAGCAAGACAGTCAAGAACAAATTGTATTAAAAAATATACATTTGCTTATGTTACTAAAAATGGTAGTTTGCCAAAAGTGACTAAGAATAATTGCTTCTTTATATTTTATTCTGCCTGTGCAATGAAATTAAATTGGTCTGCTTAGTCACATATTTTGCTTGGAGTCACTGTTTTACTCCCATGAAAGTCAAAGGGTTTCATACATTTTATTTTGATATGGCAATATAAGCATTTAAAAAAATAAGACAAAAGTATGTATCCTATTTTCAACAGAGTAAAAGTAAGCTTAAATGTTTTCACTGACACACAATTTAACAAAAGGCTTTGCTTGAGAGGCTAGATTTTTGGAACATAAAGCACATCCTTGAGAGAGGTCTGTTAGGAAGAACATCATGAAATACTCCGTGAAGCTACACATGAAAGCTTTTTAATTGGGTGATAATTGACTATTCTATTTTTCCATTAGTAATATCTGGATCAGAATCAAAATTAATAAGAAAGAGTTCTTCCTTTATAATGATTTTAAGTGACTGAAAAACTATTTAGTCCCTATTTTGAACCTGAAGAGCAAATATAAAGTTTGAGGATCTTAGCTGAAGTTTAAGAAGTTAATTACCCCTTGTAGATTCTTTTTTTATATATCTTCCTATTTACAAACAAAGTTTTTTTCTGTTTTTAACTTTTCTATTTTCATCATTGTACTCATAGCTACTGAATTAACTCGTAAAAGATAAATTTTCATGGTTACATCTCTGAATGAATTTGAAAGACGACAAAGCAGAGGTGTTTATGATATTTTATAATAATAATAAAAAAAAGATAATCTGTCCTTGAACCGTGTCCTCTAAGGATCAGTGCAAAGAGCCTTATTTTGATTAACTTGTAAAAGATGAATTAGGGATTGGAGGAAGGAGAACAAAGGGAAGGCGAATCCTTAATTACAATCTTAAGCAACTGTGTGCAATCATGTTTCAGGATTTTCTTGCCTGAATACATCTTATTAAGTTGTAACCATGCACTCAGACACTCCACAACTTGGGGAATGTAGATTGCTTCTAGTTGCTCTCTTTAAACCACTTCTTCAGTTCAAAAATGCCATGATGTTGAATTGCCTCCCTCTGATTAGAGGAAATCACGTCTGAAAGTGATGCTTAAAGACAAGAAACACATAGCAGTTACATATTACATTGTTAAAATAGTCATGCATGCTGCATTTGTGTATTCAAAGGCTACAAACTAATTCAGAAGTTAAAATTATTTTTTAAAAAAACCTTCGTGATCCAAACCAATTGTTTTGTTGCTGTTTTTTTCTTACTGAAGTGACTTCATCTACACATTGCTTTATCAGTGTTGACAACACACTTCATAGTATAATGTATAGTAGGAATGAAAAGTAATTATATATTCACATTATTAGTTTGTTTTTATCATGTTAAAATGCTTTTCTGGTTTCTATAAACCAAAAGACATTGGCCAAGGTGCATATCTTACAGTTGCCCTTGGTACAGTCCATTGTTCTAAAAACAGTACGTGTTAAAAATATTTTTGTCCGTGGAAAATGTCAGTTCAGCAGCTCTGCCAACATTTGGAACCTCTGCTCTTTTTTTTTTTTTTTTTTTTCTTCTCCAGGAGGCGTGCTGACTCCTGGCTGATCACGTTTCAGTTGTAGATCTGTTTCGTTCTGCAGACCCAAAGGGCTTCAGCAGTGCTGAAATGAGGCAGAAAGTTTGTGCTGCGGCTTTCACGGCCGGATCTCGTCCGAACAAAGCAGGTACTCGTTTCCCGGAGCGGCTGCCCCGAGCAGCTCCGGGGTTGCGGGGCTGTGCGTGGGTGCTGCCGGGCACCAGCCCCAGCGCGACACGGAACCTTCTCCTGCTGCCGCTGCGCACACTCCGCTCCCTCCTCCCTTTATTCTGGGAAAGCACCTGCCTTAGTTATTCAACGTATTTTTTTTTTACTTTTGTTAATTCTCCCCGCTCACCACCACCCCGCGGTATAACCAGTAGCCGGGGAGGCGTGACAGTAGCTCTGGGGAGACAGAGGGCAGCAGGGCTGCGAGGTTTTGAGTCCCCCGAGCAGGTCGGTGGTGGCTCCGTGCCCTGACAGGGACCAGGAGAGGCCGCCCCGGTCCGGCCCGGCCAGTGCCCGCGGCTGCCCCACGCCAGGCAGGAGGACGGGCCAGGGCAGGGAATGTGGGTTTCACAAGGGCCAGGCTGGGCAGGCTGAAAGGGCAAAGCTTTAAAGCAGGGTCTTCGCAAGTTCCGTTTAGTTTTGCGACTTTGTCTTCACGCCTCGAAAGCTCAGTCGCAGCTTGTAGTATAAATTGCATGGTGGGTTGTAGGGGGGAGAAGTAAAAAAAACCAAAAACCAAAAAACCCCCAAATCTTGAAGTCTCTCCTCCAACTCTCCGTTTCAAATGCAAATAGGGAGAGAGATTGGTTCCCGCCCCACCCCCTAGCCCGGCTCCTGATTTTTATCCAAAGGACTCCATCTGTATATCCTGTCAAGAAGGAGGAGGAGGAGAAGAGGCGGGGGGGGTAGTGGGGCCGGGCAGGCTGCTTGCTCCCTGGATCCCGCTTCAATAGCCACCGCTGGGTCTTCGGGAGGTACAAAGAGTCCCTGTGCCGCCTCCGCGCGCCCTCGGACGGAGCTGGCAGCCGGCTCCAGCCACCGAGCCGTGATATCCCCTGCCCAGAGCAGCATCCCCACCTCCTCTGCCTTCTCCCTCCCTCCCCGCTCCTTCCCTCCCTCCTCTTCCTCCTCCTCCCGCAGCCACGATCCGCACCCAGTCGGAGCTGGGCTTGGCACCGGCACCCACTTCTCCCACCGTGTGCCCAGCGGCTGCCTGTGCAGTGCCGCGCCGTGCCGTGGAGGAGGAGGAGCGGAGCAGCGGCAGCGCTCCCGTCTCCGCGGGCGCGGGCGAGTGCGCGGGCGGGCGCGCAGCCCCCATGCCCGGTGGGCGCCCGGCCGCCCGCAGCCGCCCCCCCGCTCGGGAGCATCCCGCCAGCCCTTCGTCGCGGAGGCACCGCCGGCCCTTGGGATTAAAATACTCACCGAGCTGGACAGCCGAGGGAAAGGGGGAGCAGGTAAGTGCTGGCTGCACCTGTGCCTTTCCTTGCCTTCCTTCCCCTTCCCCTCCTATGTAGGCAGAGGGCGGTCGGAGCAGTTGCAGGAAAGGGCTGTGTGCTGTTCCCCCGGAGCGGCTCCTGCCCGGAGCGCGGCCGCGGCTCTGCGGAGCTGCCGGGGGCGGCGCGGCCGCGGCCGTAAGTTTCGCGTTCCCCGGGCTGGGGGCGGCCCGGGCAGCGCGGCTGGGACCGGCCGTGAGAGCCCCCAACACCAGGTGTGGTGAGGAAACCGCGGAAAGTGACAGTACTGGGACTATAAGCGCGTGTGCACCTTCTGAGAAATAAGAGAACAATAGCATCACTCTTGACTCTTTGGAGAAGTCTCACGGACAAGCGGGGAAGTGGGGTGGGGGAAGGGAGGAACACAGACTTCTGCAAAATATAGGCAGCCCGAAGTCCTGACTGTCTCAGTCCTTTCTGCCAAGCCAAAGCAGCTGTCTTGCTTGGGCTCGAAGTCTGGCAGTGATGTTACAGTGCAAAAGATTTCAGAGACAAGGAAATATCTTGAGTTATTTCCCAGGGCTTTCGTCCTTCTATGTCAAGGATGTTCTAGAGTTTGCAAATGTTGAAATTATGGGAGCTGTTTCTTTGATTAGTATTCAGCTGGTAAGACTAGCTCTGCAGTGCTTGGCTGATGCTGACCCTTCCCCCTCCGCCCCGTCCCCCAATCCATCCACATATCCACACACGGGTATGTCCTGCTTTCCTACTATAGGCTGTGTACACCGGTAGCAAGAGGTTTGTCATCTGGATCCTCAGACTTCTAGCTGCTAATGGAGAAAAAAAAAAAATCCCTTTTTAAGATATGGTTTAGCCTTTATGCTGCTTTCAAAAGGTGAAGTAGTTCAGGTGAGCCAAGATTCTACAAACGATGTCTTCCCCGGGATGTGGGAAAGGATGGGAGATGAATACTTGTGATGTGCTCTGATTCTGGGAACTGAAATGCTGATACTTTAATCTTTTCCCCTTGCAAGGATAAAATCTTGTGTTCTGATAGATAACTTGCTCAAGCCAAACCAGAGACTTGAAAGGGCAGAGTATACTTCATAGTCTCTCTAACAAGCCATACTGACTTGCCATTTTTCAGCTAAAACATAGGTGATTGCGCAGCTTTGCAGAAAATAAATTGCTTTTCCAGCACAAATAAATAAATACATAAAAGAGCCAAACTCTTGAGTATGCCAGTTTCTGAAACAGTCTCTCCTTGGCATTGATGCATGACTTTACTTTTCTATCTTTATCATATCTACTAATAGTTTCTCTGTTACATTACTTGAGTTTGCAGGGAATTGTTACTGGTGAAAGCTAGGTACTTTGTTTCTGAGAAAGGTGAGTCTACATAATCTCAGGTGCAGAGCTGTTCAGATGGGCAGTAGCATGAAAGTTGCATAACTAAATTAAGTTTGCTTACCATGTAGCTTCTGAAGGTACAACAGGTCAACAGATAAAGATCAGCTATAAAGTGATGCTGGTTTTCTCTCAGTAATATTATAACAGTTTTAACAACGCAGAAGTGAAGTGAGGATAGTTGGAAATGGTACGATTGTGCCTCATTAGAGCTAGTTCAGTGCAACGGGTGTGTTACCATCTTTGGAGGAAAAAAAGAACACAAAACCCACTTAACAAACCCAAAAGAACTATCCAGGGACCAAATGTGCTATTGTTTTTAAGTCCTTTTACACAATTTTATAGCTTTCCAGTCTGCAACTACCAGGGGATCTAATCTAGACATCTAGACACACGTTTTTTTTCAGGGTCATGAAGAAAGGCTAAGTAAGATTTAAAAAACAATTGCAATAAAATCCACAATACGGGAAGGCCTAGCTCTGACAGCTTTTAATATTAAGTATGTGCAGTATCTAGGATTTGAGTACTTGATAAAGATTTAAAACTACCAGGAATATCAAAGAAAATATAAAAAAATATCAGAGGTAATAATCTGAGCTACCACTGCATGTTAGAAACACATGTCAGTTAATGTAAGTGAAAATACAAACATCAATAATAATGCGTATTTTCTTGCAAAAAGCTATTAAAGATTGCAGTTTTGATCAAGGAACATTGCACCCTTATAATAGGAGACTTTACTGTAATTAAAGGCTGATGTAGGTCATTAGAATTGTGTTAAAAGTCAGATGACAGCCTCACAACTCTCCTAAGTCTACTTTCATTGATTTAATAGCAAGGCACTATTGATTATTTGCTATTGATTTAATAGCAAAGTATTCTTTTTTTTCATGTAAAAGGGTTATTGTAAAGCATTTGTACAGCTGCATATTAACTGTGAATTTTCTGATGAGGAGGATGGATACAATATCCACATAGATTTTTGCCTGTCCTTTTCTCATATGACTGTGTGTATGTACACATTGTGCCCACATTTTTCTATGTTTCTTCAGCAGTTAGAGACTTGACTGAAGAAAATCATTACTAATGCAAGACCTTATATTGTTCTACTCCAGCTTAAATTCCTACTTTGCTATAGACCTGGCTAACCCATTTCTCAGGGGGATTCAACTCACAAATTGACTCCAATGTGTGATGAAAATAGAAAATATTTTAAACTTCAAGTGGTTTAGAGATTAAAATACTGCTTGACAGTCAGTCCTAGTGATGTCTAGTAAGTTTTTGTGTGTGTTTTCAGTCTATTGGCTTCAGTATCTGATGTGTTCAGTGGTTCTTCAATGAAGGCCTTTCTTGAGCCTTTCCTTTTCCTTTAGTTTATCACATACATTTTTTTCATGTACGCTTTCATGCTACTGCTGGGTATTGTTTTCTTGTGGCAATAAAAATCATTAAATTCTATCTGAGGAAGGGTACATAAAATAGATGGTTACTTCAGTTCTTCCTGTCAAACCAGGCTTAACTCTAAGCAGTAATGCAGGAGTGCCTCCTCTGGGAATTCAGCAGTTCTGCAAGAAAGTCATCCCTAGGCATTATGTGATGTTCTTCAGCTGAAATGAGGCTGCAGAAATTGAGCTTGTGGAAATTTAAATATTTGCCGTGATTGGTCCCAGATCCACAAATACTGCTGGCGTTTCTTTTCAATAACTGATCAAATTAGCATAATCCCTTCCAGCAACTTAGATCTTTCAAATGTACCATGGCAGGGTGAAAAAGAAATAAAACTCTTTCACATGGAGAAAATGATATTAGAAAAAAAAAAAGCTTTCTTTTGTTAATTTTGCTTGGGGAACAAAACAAACTTACCAACAGCCCAAACAATTTAGCACTCTAGACATGTGCAATCTTATGATCAACTGCAGAGCAGTATAAAAGACCAAAAGCTGTTACCTGGTTTTCTTTATGCATTTTTTTTAAAGCCATATAATTTATTGCAGTGTGCCTAGTGTTTTTCTGTCGTCTCATCAGGTCCTTTCACCTGAGTCAGAGGGTATTGGAGCCAGTTTAGTGTAACAGTGCCATATGTTTGGAGCAGTGATAGTTTTTTTGCTTGATAACCAGATGCAGACTGCAGGATGTGCACTACATTTACAGACCTCCCATGTGAATATTTAGGCCAGTTAGCGGCAGGAGGTTGTGGTCTGTAGTTGTAATGTCATCTGGCACAGGGAGTTAATAGGTTTCATCGTGCTGCCTTGACTTGCAGAGCTTCATTTCATCACAGGGTCCCCACCTCACTTGCTCCAAGGCACCCTCCTTTTCTCTTTTCTTTCCCTGAAAAAAGTGATAACCAGACATTGCAATTGACACTGTAATTAGACATGTTATCTTCTCAAAACCTTTTTGTCTCAAAGATCACATTCCTGTTCATGTGCCTGTGAAGGAGTCTCCTGTAGTACTTAGGATGTGTGACATGGAGGAGCTGCAGGCTTGTAACAAAGGGGAATTTTCTCTGCCACTAGATGTAACACCCTGTCCAATGGGCATTGTAAAATTGAATGTCAAAGCATAAATATTTCAGTGAGGGCAGTCCAGCTGTCAGGGGGCTCACCTGCTGGTTCTACTTTGTTTAAGGGATCATGGTTCAAGATCCAGTGGTGACAGTCACCCTTGGAATTATTTCAACACCCTGGGTCTGATTTTACTGAATGACTAAAGTAGAGAAAAAACAAACAAAAAAAGCCCCATGGGATAACTGTGCATTGTTGACCAAGCTAATGCAAGATTTACTAGCAAGTGGTGACTGCTCAGAGTCAATGAGGTCCATATTTGCGCAATAAATTCTGCAATGGTATCAAAAATTGAAGCAATTTGATGAGAAGAGAATAATGGGGCAGGGGGGAGGATGAGGGAAGAAAAGGAATAGGAGTGGTAAACTCTTCAGTTACAACTTCAGTGAGTGGCTGACAGTGAGATTTCAAACTACAGTAATACAATCTAGACTGGTGGAGTTTAGGAATGGAAAAAGGTTTAGATTTCCACATCTTCCTGAAGCATTTTACACATTAGAAACATTTTAGGACAAAATACACTGAAGGACAAAATTCTCTGTTGAGTTGAAGAGGTTGACAGGAAAATGATATGGTTCATAGATTAAGCTGGCACTGTGACACTGGTAGCAATGTGTGAGCAGAAGTCTGCAGGAATTTGCATTTTGGCTGCAAAGGTTAGGTGGTGCAAAGATGATCTCAAAAGCCTTCAGCAAACTGCTCTATGGGGCTGGGGAAATCGCAGATGTGGGGAAGGAGGGATTCCAAGACGTTATCTCTGAGACTGAAAACTTATCTACTGGTGCTCATTGTGACACACAAACAATGAACACTAGACTTGATGAGTTGTTTTAGAAATTATGGAGTGAAGCAAAATATTCAGAGAGATTTTCAGTGGGTGTAAATTACCCTTAATTGCTTGCAGCGTGGGGGACTATTCCTTTAAGCTGAGGATCTTATGATCTGAATGTTTCCAACAAATCAAGATTGCCCCTTGGAGACAGTGCATAATAGTGTCTCTTTGACACTAGCAGATTGTTTTGGCAAACTAGAGTAGTAACATTTTTCAGATTAGCAGTGCAACCCAGTACACTGTGGCTTAAATATAGTTTAATTTTTGTACAGCAGATGGGAGAAAATGTAAGGTTTATGATGTGTATTGAATGAAGAGGCTATTATTTTTTTCAAATGTGTATTCTTCAGTCTGACGTTTTATATATTAGCCAGCTTTTTAAGAACATAAACATGAGAGTTTAGATTTCTAGTGGATGTTTTTTATGTTTAGTTTTTTTGTGTTTTGTTTTTATTTTTATTCTTTCAGCTGTTCTCTTGGACAGCATGTTACTGCTCAGTTAAGACATGCTACCTGCACTGTCCAGATCACATAACATACTCTCCAAATTACACTCCAGTACTTTTACTTTGTATTTTTATATTTGTGATTGCCAGGACTACAGGTAAAGCAAATAGGGAAGACAAGCTTAGATGTGAAAGCTAGAGCTTAAGGCTTTAAATACACTAGCAGACTATTTTATTTTTAAAGGCCTAAGTTACTTTTTAGGTTGGCAAAGTGTGAATGAGGAGATATGACTGGGTTTACGCCTGTTTGTGGAGGGGAGTAGCATTCGGGAGATCAGAAAAAAGATGTAAAGGTACACTTTTATTTTAGGGTAGTTAATGATATGAATTAAAAGTGTAAGTATTTCTCAGCTTTGAACACTCTGAATCTTGTTTATGCAGAAAGAGATAGCGTTTCATAAAAGAGCATCTTTAAACAAAAAGCACAAAGTGGTTACAGGTCAGTTTTGCCATCACACTCGAGTCAGTAAACACAGATGACAGTGAAGACAGTGGAATCAGAGCACTGAATACCCTCTGTCGCTGTCAGTGTTAGTTTTATCCACTGCTGCAAGTGCAGCCCTGAACAATCAAGCCATGCCTTATTGAGGAAAAAGCCACCAACAGTGCCTCTTAGTTTTCAGTTTTGTGAATGCTGTGACATTGCTTATGTGGTCTTGTGGACTTGATGCTTACGGACATCATAGAACAGGTGATGCTGAAGTGCCAATTATGCTTGGATAAAATTAATAAAAAAAATGTATAAAATGTGTGTCTATCTATCTAGCTATCTATCTATCCAATTATCTGTCTATCTCAGTAAGAAGGTTAATGAGATGCAATTTAATAAAGAATTATTCCCAAAACAGAAATGAGTTTTAAATACAAGAGACTTCTGCTTTTGGAGGTATCATATATAAAAGGCAGTGTGCTGGAAGAACTATAAATAAAAACCTAAAAAAAAAAGGGCTCTAAGAGGAATAAGAAGACTTATCCTGAAGAAGAGAAAAAAGAGAGGGAAGAGTGTTTCAGAGCAGAAAGTGCTGCCACACAGCTGAATAAAAATAATTGGAATTTTGGAGTCTGTGTGGTGAAAGTATTTCAGAATGAGTAAACCACAACAACATTTTTTTTCCAGGAGGTGTGAGTATTCTGCTTTTCATCAGATTGTGCTGTCTAGCATATGGACTGTTTTTCAGTTGGTATTTTGGGTGCGTTTTTCAGTTCTGTGCTGTGGCGTGTGGCTCGGGACCATGGCACTCCATATGGTGGCTTTCATACTTTCCTGCAGGTGTAAAAGAAAGGATATAAGAGAACACTGTTCGAGATAAAGGTTAGAGCAATTCTAGGTTTGAAATGTCTGTTCTGAGCAAGAACAAGACATTTCAAACTGCTTAGTGAAAAGACTCTAACATATTGTAAATGTTTTACTGACATTTCTTAAGAAAATCCATTTTTTATTTTTATCTCTGTTAAATAACAATCTGCTGCCTCTTTGAAATAAACTGACAGTTTATCAATATCAGATGTCTTTAGCATGATGTAACTTAGACACAGAGAGGGGAAATCAAGGATGCATAAACAGCTTCTACTACAAACAACACTTAACCGTAGTTGAACAGAGCAGTAGGAAGTGAACATATCACAGGGAAAGCACAGCTACTTCCTTGACACTCATTGGCAGCCCTCTCAGTAATTACTGTCATATGGTCATGATTTACCCAAAGGCCCAGATCAAAACTGAGCTATGGCTAGTTGGGATTAATCGTTTCAAACTAGGCTCTTCTAACGAGGATGACACCTGCTTGTTAATCCTGCTGTGAGAAGAATTTTGGTCCATGCTGGAGTGATGTCTTTTATAACTGTAGCATCATGTTTTCAAAATTAGGGTCTTTAGGTAAGGCTTGCCTATTCTCTTCATTTTGCCTGTAGGGAGACACTGGATTTTCCTATATGGAAGCTTTCAAATTGCTGCTGCTTAGCAAACACGCTCAGTGGGTTTGTGGTTTATCCCACCAGCCTCTAAGCAAAGCCTTTCTGGTGCAGGGCAGTACCACAGAAGGGATTACTATAAAAAGGCTTTAAATACAGTCTGTAATCAGAAGAGCTTTTTATTTGTTTCATGTTTCTGCCCTCTAGGTACCTTTGGCAGCACGATGCATAGGCTTTCTGCAGCTGAAAGAGCCTGACGTACTGAAAACAGATAGTGGATATCACATTTCACTCAGTTTTAGTAGTAATGAGTAGGACTATGATAATCAGTCCAGAGTGTTTAATGTGTATGTGATTTAATGTCTAGCCTTTTTAGATTAATTAAAAGTATAAAGGATGAAATCTTCTTTCTTCCGTGGCTTCCTAAGTAGCAGCAGTTCACTCCAAATTAATGCTGTTATCTGTTTTAATTTCACCCTTATTTCCACTTCATGTTTGGCACTTCGTAAATGCTTCTTGTCTCCCTTATTGCTCACTTGGACAAGGAGGATGTCTATTTAAGAGGCAAGTTTTCTTACCTGGTGATTCTCCCAAAAGGCAAAGCTATGTTTGGTTCTGACTGACAGAATTTATACTTTTTAAAACGTCATACTAATTATACATTTTTTTACATGGGCAGAGAAGGCTCTCAGTCATAAAAAGCAGAAAAGAGTTAAGTATTGAAGTTTGTGTTTCTAAAAAAAAAAATAATATTTTTTTTTATTAGTAAGTCCTATGACATATTAAATGATTACATTTTTAAATAAAAACTGATTTACATGTGTTAGTCCTGAAAAACCGTTTGCTATTAAATCAAGGTTTCATGGAAAATACAAAATGACATTATCTTCTGATCTTTCTGGGCATATTTCTGTATAAATATATAAAGTAGTCTAACATGTTTCTTACGGTGCCTGACATTTGCTTTAGGAATGTAGTGAAATTGAGTGGGGAGACTCAGGGCTTTTTACCAGGTCAGGTTGAGATCAGAACAAATCATATCATCTGGTGTACTGTGACTAAGAATCAATCAAATTGTTCTGATTCATCTTATACTCCTTCATTTTACTTTTGAGTTATATGGGAGAGAGTTAAGCTAGGATATGTCCCTGCCATTAATACAACTTGCTGTCTGTAGCTGATTTGTAATTATATCATAGTAATGGCAAGTAAAGCAGACCATAGCAGACAGAAGAGAAAATATCAAACCAAATGACTGTAAATAACTACACTTACTCTGATTATTTTAAAGAGAAACAATTTTAGCATTTATACTGGAAAAAAAAGGTGCATTAAGAGAACATTTAAGATAAAACTTAGTGGCTATAAATGCAGTTGTATCAGCAGCAGTAATTCCATCGAAGAAGTATGCTATAAACTCTGAGAAATTTATGTAAACTCATTGGTGTTGATGAGGAGAAAGGTAATAGATAAACAGTTTTGATGCGTGATGTGAAAGCTGCAAAGAATTTGCATTCTCTGAAAAAATTAAAAATTCTGACAACTGTTCTTGTCTTTTTCCTGGACAGGTATCCATTACACGATTTCTTTGGTGAAGGCTATTCAGCAGTGGTGACATCTTCCAATCGACCACTCTGCAAATTATTATCTCTGGACTCCCAGCTGACACCCTGCCGGAGGCTAGAGCTACTGAGACAACTGGAATTGTGCCTGCTTTGGTCAAGGTTTTTTCTTTCACCGAGGAAAAAAAAAAAAAAAAAAAAAAAAAAGAAAAAAGATGAAGTTGGGCAAAGTGGAGTTTTGCCATTTTCTTCAGATATTAGCTCTTTTCCTGTGTCTTTCTGGGATGAATCAAGCAGAGCTCACAAGGTCCAGGTCAAAGCCCTATTTTCAATCAGGGAGGACGAGAACCAAACGCAGCTGGGTGTGGAATCAATTCTTTGTGCTGGAAGAATACATGGGTACAGACCCACTCTATGTAGGAAAGGTAGGGGATTTAAATAAACTTTGGAAGGTTCAGATGCTTGTTTTTTGATGTGTTTATATGATGCAACCTAAAAACTGTAATTCTGTTAGCCCAGAACAGCAACACACTGCATTCTTACAAGAATGCAAGGTTCCTGTTGCAATTTTCTTTAAGAGCTCTACATATTAGTACTGCTTGTTTAATAGAGTACAATAATGAAAATGTTTCTCCACCACTGATAGAAAGAAAATATCTATTACTTCTACTAGGTTTTAAAGCAGAGGAACATAATGATGAGTATTCTTTTTTGAAAATAATGATGAGTATTCTTTTTTAAGAGTTAACACCTAGTCGCAGAAAAAAAAGAAGTTCTGTATTATGTTGTTTGCTCCCTAAAACTCAGCTTTACTGAAAGCAAGAGGGAAAGAATCAGGCGTCTGTGGGTGTGATGAGTGAAAAGGAGGACATGTCTGCATTACTGCTATTCTTTGACATTGCCTGGCTGGCAGATTGGCACCTTGGGGGCCTCACTGTCCTCTGTGCACAGCACAGCCTTGTGGCTTTACCTCGCCTGTGATGGGCATGGGTCCAGTACAGAGCCAGCCCTTTTACATCAGGGCTTCCCAAATGGTTCGTTCCGAGCGCCCGTCGCTGCACATGGAGCACGCTGAGCACAGCTGTGAATCCGGGACTTAGCTCATTTATGCCTTGTGCTAGTGGGTAATACGCTGCCTTCAGCAATTATGCTGAGGAAAAAAAAAAAAAAAAGCCCACAAAACAAAACCCCCTCTTGTGTTTCTCTGTAACATTTATGTGTAATCATCTTATTGAAAGGAAAACCCATTTTCTCGGTAATATCAGAATCAATAAATAGAGTTTCTCATTAAAATACAGCAAATGCATAGAAAACAAGGGAGTGACAGCTTTTGGCACTACAGCATGCTCACAGAAAAAGAGATGAAGTAATCTGAAATCCACTGCTTCAAATATACAAGTGCAATGAATTTCAGCTTACTTAATTCATCCTACTGAGACAAAACCTTGCTGTTTGTGTTAATACAGTTAAGCACTTAGAATTTAGCCATGCCAATGGAATAATCAAGTTAGATAGAGAACTGCTTTCATGATTGCAGCTATGGTTGTGTTTAGGTGCTTTTCTGAATTGGGACTGGTATTTGCATAACTTAACCCTTAAGAAAGGTATACTGGAATCAAAAATGTCATCTTGTATTACAGTGGTCTTGAAAGTTTTGGTAAAGTTTTATGCATTCTGATGCCACACAACTGCTGTGTGTGGGTTTGTCTTTTAGGCAAATTTGTCCCCAGGTTGGGGTTTCTCTTGCAGTTCAGGAAATGGCCTATTTGGCATTCTTTCCCACCGATAAAAAAAGAAGTGTGGCTTGCAAATTTGAATTTCTCTCCTGGAAAAGAAGCGTCTTGAAATACTCAAATGAAGATGAGTTTTGATCTGTAGTAATTCTCATATTCAGTCGATTGCTATATTATGGCCAAAAATGCTGTGGTAGTGCTACAGTACATGATATTTGCATGCATGTGGTTATTTTTAGCTTCGCAGTCTGTTTTTTTTTCTGCTCTTTCCTGTCCTTTGCAAGAGTCCTAGCATTCACAAGCAGATATCTTCCAAAACACAACCCTTTTTTTTTTTTTTTTCCCCTTGAAACATTCTGTGCCTGCTTTTACATCAGAAGTATGAATTGTTGGCTCAGGAATTTGTACCAGCAATCCATTTTGTAGGAAAAGCAGATAAAAATTTTCACTTACAAAAGAAAGCCCATCTTCTTGGAAACACAATCCTTGCTGAGCATCTTGTAAGATAAGATGTGCCCAGTTCCTAACCTTCTCACTGTAGAGGCTTTTCACTGTGTGGCTCCTGAGGTGCAATCATGACCAATGCTGCATTCCCACACAGGGGAGCAAAAAGGTGAAGAAGTGAATTTCTTTCTGTGTCTTAACATATTATGTGTAGCACCACTCTCAAGTGAGCAACAGTCACTTCCTCCCCGTCTTCTCTTCTTAAAAACATTGGTGCTCTTATTTCAAATCCTTTGCAGGCAGGTAGGGACAGAGAAGACTGAGATTTGGATAGAAAGGATGGATTTTCTTTTTTCCTCTTTCTATTTTTTTTCCCCCCCCTTGGTGAGAAAGCTGCAGCAAGCAAAAAGCTGCCATAGCTCACTTTTCTCATCAAATGAAGTGGAAGAAGTGACCAGACTCTGCAGAGTGCTCTGCTTCTGGGGATGCCAGTCCTGTGCTGCCTCACGTTCAGGATGCTTTGCAGGGTGCCAGTCTAACTGCACACCCAGGAAGGAGGGACCTTCCTCTAGCTTTTAAGGGCAGTGAGATAAAAGGGCTTCAGAAACACTCAAGCAAATGGAGCTGTAATGGGGAATACTGTCTCCCTGCCACTATTCAATTTTACAAAGCCCTAAGCAATTCTGGTTGGAAGGCATAATTTGGGGATATTAGGGTTACATGGCAAATCATTCAAGAGTTGTGAAATAAGAATGTTAATTCCATGTTCAGCACTAGCTCTGTCCTCCTGGGTGTCTGCATGCTGACACTTTAATTACATGATCATGCAGGGTAAAATCCTATTCCTCGTAAATAATGTAGTAGGATTCTTATTCACCTCAGTAAAACAAGTCCTTCCCTTAATTTTTCAGTGTTTTCATGTTAGTTTAAGAAGGCTTCACATCTACGCCTGAGGTATACTGCAACCTTCCTTCTGGACATCCTTTTTTTGTTTTCCCAAATGCATAGGTATTTTTTTTTATTAAGGCAGCAGGGCCTGTTTCTCACGTGACTCTGGAGAAACCTCTGGAGGAGTTCCATTTATTTTACTCTAATAGGAGTCAGAGGTGACAGAAGTTTGGTGCCTTTTTTATTCTCTTCTTTTAAAATTTAGGTCTTTCCTCTCTATGATATGAATTTTAATAATCTTGGATGTAATTCTGAGCACCTCTTGGGAGGTGCTTAACATATAATCAGATTGTGGACTGAGCCATACACAATTGTTTTCTGTCGGTCAGCACAGCGTATGCTATGTTCACTTGAAGGGCTGAAACATTTAACATTTAACTGTTTAACGCATTAAACTGTTTGGATAGGCACTGTTCTCTTCCAGACAAGCCATGTAGGAGGTGAGGCAGTTAACTGTGATGCTTATTGAGCTAGAAGCATAGCTGGCTTCTGTTTTCTGGAAAATGTTTACTATTGCTTGGTAATATGTTTTTGTGAAATGCCTTACTCCATATTTTCCTTGTAAATGACGTTAATGGAATCTATTTGGGGAAAAAATAGAATAGAGCAGTTTCAAATGATTTGAAACATAAACACCTAAAATTAGGAAAAAGTGTATGCTATTATCTTAAATATTTGAAAGGCTGTATATGGTCTTGTAATTGAAGTTTCCATGGGTGCACATTAACAAAAAGGGGTGCAGTAAAAGTAGAACTTGAACATTTTGTTGATTTTTTTGTTTTGTTTTGTTACATAACTATCAGACATCTAGGGTTTGGATTTTTTTTTTTGTGTGGTGGGTTGGGGGTTTTTTTATTATATTTCTTTTAATGTCTTCTGCTGCAAGAGTGTCAGTCTCATCAAAAGCATTATAATGACACAAAATCTCTGCCAGTAGTAGTTTCATTTTTCATATTAAAAAGTTAAAAAACCCCCAACCAAACAAAAAAGCCACAAACAATCCTGAAGAAGCGAAACAAGACTTTGAACTCCATGTGAGATGCTGATTGATAGCTGACTTGACTGTTTTCTTTTGGATCCAAACCAACTCTCCTTTTCCAATGGCTCTAAATTTAGGTATAGTTACAGGGCAGTTTCAAGCTTTTTGCTGAGTTGAACTCTTCTTTTCCCTTGAGATCTCACTAACATATGAAGGACTGAAAATAAAAGCTAGGAACTTTTGACTGAGCACAAACCCAAGATATTCGTTTGTAACTTTGAGAGGCTCACTGGTAATTCTCAAAAATAATGCTTTGAACTTGTAAGATGCCCCGAGTGTTGTTTTTTATTTATGATGTAAGAGTAAGTAAAGTGTAAGTTCTAACCTGCATTTTCTAGATTGTAAAATCAAGAAAAAAGGTTAAATGAGTGAACTAAGAGCATGTAGCTTCCTAGATTTTTCAGTCACTGCCTTCCAACACAATTTTACCTGCCTCTTCTGACTGTTTTAAGGTAAATAAAACTGTTGGAGTCAATTTCCAAACATGGACAAAAGTGCATAAAAGCTAATATTTGCATTATTATTTTCTGGAGTAGTACAGAATCAAGGGCTTACAAAAAAATGAAGTGAACTTAAGCTTTTCCTATAAAATTAGGTTATTTAAGAGAATTTGCAGGTTTTACAAGTTTTGAGAGAACTTACAGGCAGGGTGGGGAAAGGGTTTTTAAAGCAGCCATATAAAAAGTTTATGTTATTATTAGCATAGAGAGTGGGTAGTTTTTTCCAGTCTCCTCATTTTGGAGGGAAGGAGGCTGGAAAGGGGAGGATACTGAGGTTTTGGGTTAATCCTTTGTTTCTCAAAGGTGTTGGTGAATATATCAATAAGGCAACAGAATTACTCATATACTATATTTATCTGTGGTGTGACCTTGTCTCAGACCACACAAATGCAGTCAGCAGTAGGGCTCTTTTCACAGAATCATAGCTTGACAATTTCAGATGTGGCTGATGAATTTCGACTGAGTTGGGTAAGAAATGTCTTTGCTACTTTAAGGCAGTGAGTACTGTGGAAGCACTGGCTACTCAGTCAAACTCAGACTGAACTTTAGAAGTATTACTGGCATTTTGGAAAATGGAGAAGACATGAGGTGGTATTACAAAGGCTAAATATAGGTAAAAAGGACTGGGCTGCCTCACTTGCACATAGTGAAGAAGGAGGTTAGTCAGGCGCAATTCCCTGGAGGGATCTGACCCTCCTGCTGCTTCTAGAGGCACCCACAGGGACTAGGGCTCTCTGCTCAGCTTCAGTCTGTGTTTTTTT